TAGGGTTGAGGGCCAGTTTAGGGGTTAGGGTTCTTGGGCAAAGTTGGGGTGTAAGGGTTTAGGGTCGAAATTCACGTTGAGGGCTTTCCACGTAACGGCCTGGAGGGCCTCGATTGGCTAGGAACCATGAGGCAACACAAAAAAAAACAGCCACAAAGGACCTTAGAAGCGCTGTTGTTTGAGCCACTGTGAAAAGGCGTCTACGTCAGCTCATTCGCGAAGTTCACTGTTAAGGTAACCGCCATGCACTCTTGGTGTTGACCCTTTGGGCCTCGGCTGTTGGGGACTCAGAGTTCGGGGTACTTTGGCTCTACCTTCTTAGGGTTTAGGGTTTTTGTGAAGCTATGCATGGTGGAAGCCGTGCTGTTTGCAGGATTCCGTCTGATCTCCTAAACACATGCATGCATGCATCCATCAATCCGTCCATCTTATCTATCCATCATTCCTCCATCCGTCCGTCCGTCCGTTCGTGCATGCATGCGTATGCACATACATGCACACATACATGCATATACATACTGTTACATGTATTTGTATATACGTATAGGTGCTTGAACGCCATCCCAGCCAGCCAACACCTTTGCGGCCAACTGTCCGTGGGACTCGTCGCCCCTGAGTCCTCGGAACCTGAGCAGCCCAGAAGTCCGACACTCACCCTAGTTCAGGGACTTCCGAGACTAAAAGCCTCATGCCATTGCTACCATCTACTTACCCGCAAGACTGCCTTTTGTCTCAATGCTTATCATGGCGACCATTATGCACAACCTTTGTTACTAATTCCAGTCCACTTGTGCACACAAACACATGGGTGAGCTTATTGGAAGCACTGTGGACTATGGACACGCAAGCCCGGGGTCTGGGAGTACAAACGAAAAGAGCTCCGAACAAACACCTGGGATTTAGATGGGTTGAGGTTTCAGGGGTTGGGAATCAGAAATTGTGGCCCTACGCACTGCATCCTAATTCAAACCCCTCCCCATGTAGCTGGATTTGCGGCCTACGCTCTCTGGCAGCAGCCCACCGTATCGAAACAAGAGACAGAACACTAAGGGGCTTGGAGATCATGTAGGGTTTAAGCTGTCGATTGGACGCCTGTATTCCGACTGGGGCTTCAGGGGCAGAGTTAAGGCATAGGATTTATGGATGTTTAGACTTTTGGGCCTTGCTCTTTATGAGGATTCCTTCTCGCTCCTCTCGTTAAGAGGAGCTTGATTCATCCACCGAGAACCCTTGACATGACGTGAGATTAAAGAGCCCCGATTTGGGAGCCAAGTTGCCCGGTACACTCGGATACCAATGCGGTTACAAGCCCAGATACGATTTCATGAGAGTTGGGCTTGGAAGTCTAGTAGGATCTCTGTTACGGGTACTCTGCTTTGGTTCTACAAGCAGCGCCTTTTGGGTCAAAGCTCCGCTTGCCTTCCTCCCAAGATAGTATTGCCTATATTAATTTGACGTATGTTCCTGACACAACCACCAGAAAGGCCCTTAACTCCCCCCCCCCCGCCCTCTCCTGGTGCCTCCCAGCGCATTGCGGTGCAAGCACAAACCCTTCTAAATTACCTGGTTTTCGCTCTCAGGACAACTTGTTGCGCATCTGAAATCATAAGTTCGAACTCTACACATCTATCAAGAAGGGGCTGTACAGCAAAACAGGACTGACATGCAAGCTGCAAGCTACGGTCGTTTTCGCTTTGAAGCTCGACAACAAGCTGCACATCTGAAACCCTAATTTCAAGCGTGCTCTTCCTTGATGATGATGACGATGATGATGACGGTAGTGGCGCTGCTGCTGATGATGATGATGACTATGGTGGTGGTGATGGTGATGATGATGATGATGATGGTGGTGATGGTGATAATGACGACGATGATGGTGATGATGGTGGCGATGGCGATGGCGATGGCGATGGCGATGGCGATGGCGATGGCGATGGCGATGGCGATGGCGATGGCGATGGCGATGGTGATGGCGATGGTGATGGTGACGGTAATGACCCCGACAATGACGATGATT